AGAGAGAGAGAGAGAGAGAGAGAGAGAGAGAGAGAGAGTCCTATAAAGTTGTTGCATAGTTCTGAGTTCTATTGATCCAGATCATGAGAAGGAGAGCATACTTGCATCCCCACATTAGTTCCACACACACAATTCAGACCTATGATTGAGCTGACTGCCCCCAGGCAATTCAGTAGTAGTTGGTCTTACTCGTCAAATTATATCACCTGAATTCGAACATGGGTCTGCATGTCAACAGTTCATGGGCGTACCCAAAAAAAGAAAAAAAAAAAAAGGAAAAAAATTAGAAAAAAAAACAAAAGTTCATGGGTGTACCCACCGAGCTAGGCTCTTGGGTAGTGGACTGGCCTTTTTTTGTGGCGATGCGATGGCACAGCCAGCTGATCGCTGTTTTAGTCACACGTTCGAATACAAGTAGATGGCATGCCCGATTTCCGTCCGATACCTTACAGTGCCCTTTTTCCTTCTTTTTTTCTCTCGCTCCGATGCTGCTGCTGGGACTGGATGTGCAGTTCTGTGCAGGAACCCTGCGTCCACTGCCCCCTTCATGCTCCCTGCTGCATGTGCCGTGGGCATCCCCATGTTCTTATTGTTTTACTCTTCTTCTTATGTTTATCTGAGGCTTATTTTTATTTCTGTGTTATCATTTTTAACTTATTTATATGATGATGATATTATTATTATTACTATGATGATGATGATGATGATGATGAGGAGGAGGAGGAGGAGGAGGAGGACGACGATGAGTATCATTATGATGATGTCAGATGGCCCACCCTATGTAGCACAATGTGTGGCAGACAATCTTTTTTTTTTTTTTTTTTGGCTGTCAAAGAATCTTATTTTGCTCTCTCCAAAAGAAACGGAGAGCAACTGCCAGCCTTTTTTTTTTTTTTTTTTTTTTTTTGGTTTGCCGGTCTGATGGACAGAATGAGCTTCTGCCACCCTATTGTCAATCAGCAGCTACCTGTGGTCCTGTTCATTTACAAAATTGATCCCTTTATCAAGTGGGCAATCCGAAGGCCTCCAAAAGCGGCCGCTACAATCATGGTAGGCATAGACTTCTTTGAAGACTACACATGTCTGTCTGACTTCATAAGAATCATAACCCCCTGATGAAAAGTCAGCATTCCTCCCATTAGATGGACATGTATCATGGACAATTTGACATCATTTGGACAACATGGGTATTGGGGGTAACTGGAATAAAAATGATAAAAACGGATATTGGATTTACCGATCATATCGTTTGGATAATTACATATTTGGATATCACAGGAATAATTGGACATTTAATCTCAAGATTGCCTCATTGATAAAAATATTTAGACTCTTTTTTAGAGTATTAAATGCATTCTCTGATTTAAAATATAAAGAAAGAAGATCTTTTTTTTCTTTTTATTTATATTATTATTATGTCGTATTTTCATTTGCAATGAGCAACTCAATCAAATTGATTTGCTCATGAAGAAAAAAATAGGAAAAACGTTACAGAACCCATGTGATTTCTTGGGTTCTTGAAAAAAAAAAAAAAAAAAAAAACAAAAAAACGTGTGATTTCTTGGCCTATTGAAAGGACTCAAGAATTTTGTTATTTTGATTTTTAGAGTCCTTGGGACCCGGTTTCCAGCACCTGTGTTCTTTCGCAGGTGATGCTCCCAACCAATAGATGGAGCGGTCCGTCGACAAAGCCTCAATTCTGGTGGCTCTCTTACCACCACTGGGATAGAGGCCTTGCACAAGAGTCCTTGGGTCCCTAGAGATGGATAGAATTAATTAAAAAGAAAAAATGCAATCCCAGGTGAGAAGAGAGCATGTCGGATAGAACTAATTAAAAAAAAAATGGAATCCAAGGTGAGAAGAGAGCATGAAGTTTATGAACAAATTCACTGGAGTGGAACTATCTATTTTATTGGACAAATTATTACACCAAATTACAAGTTGATGAAGGAAGGTTTTTCCTCAGTCTACTGTGCTGATATCTTCTTGATCTATTCTGTATTCACTTTGTATAAGGGACGCTGGACCCGTTTTCCAGCAGGTGATGCTCCCCACCAATAGATGGAGCCTCTCCCTAGGTGGTAGTGGTGTCTGCTTTCACCAGTGCCACCAGCACTGCAGTTTTTTTTTTTTTTTTCAGAAGAATCCCCATTGGATGTCCCTGAACTTCAGTTAAGTCCAAATGGTATCTCAGGAGATCAACTGTGATATTCTTTTGGGCCAAATAAGTAGGTTTCAATTTCGTTCAAAAAATATAAAATGTCAGTTTTGATGAAATCGCTGTTTTAGGGGCATTTTGGCATATATCTCAACTTCTGGGGGTATTTTGCAAATTATCCCTAGAAAAAAGAAATTTGAGAAAAAAAAAAAAAAAGGTTTGTGAGGTTCTGAACTCCACTAGCATTGATTGCCCAGGGAAGACCCTGGGGATTGACTGAGTGGAGTGCTTCTGACTTACCAAAAGGTCACTATTTGTGGCACAAGGATTGCAACAAAGTCACCCCGGCCCCCGGAGGGGCACCGAAGGCTTGGGGTGCTTTGTCATCTGTTGTTGTGAAAGGATCGGAGATGTGCTGTTCTCGGAGGGCATCAACACGTTGGAAAGCAGAGCAAGGCAGGGATGAATTCCATCACACAAGCAATCTAGATACCCCCATGCACACTCCTGCAGCCTGTCTATCCGCCCTTCAGACTGTCGCTTCAATCAGGGAGAGCGGGTGTGGAGGGAAAGGATCACGGAAGTCTGATGGGGGGGGAGCGGAAAGGAAGGTTCGATGGTTGTCCAGTCGTTGAAGATTACACGGTAGTCCCTGCATTCTACCATCTCCAGGTGCCGTTGGTCCTCCCTATTACCACCCCACCCACCCATCCGCCTCCGTCTGCCCCCAGCCAGTCCTCCCCAAAGGAGGAGATTGCCTTTCTTATATGTTGGTTAGTCCGAAAGAGGTCCAGATGTCGCTTCAAGATTTGCCACTTTCTCATTAGTTCCAGCTGCAATTGTTGTTGGATCTGCTCTGTTACCTCAGGCCCTCATGACCCTCTACCTGCACATTCTCCCTGGCCAGAAGGCAATGTTGCCACCAAAGCCCCCAAAGCACCGCTTTGCGGCCCAGATTGAACATATTTTATGTGAACGTGGATGCCTCCTGGATCTGGGGCCAGTATCCTAGCAGTATCGCCCTCCAGGTCCAGGGCCATGGAGTGCCAGCGACCATCTTTCTCCAGATTCTGTCCCACCATCGCCATGTGAGTTGTGCAGTCAGACATTACATAAAGATGTGTTCAATGGTTTCTGCTCGCAGGCACCGTGCACACCAGGGAAGAGTTCGGCCTTTCTGTTCCTGGTTTGTGTGATCGATCAACCAGTCCATTGTTGGCAGACACCGGTGTGCTATCTGCTACTGTAGGGAGGTGATCGTTGCAGGTTTCTCTTTTCGACCTTGGAACCAATGTATCGGCATCGAAAGGGAGCGGTCTACATTGAGGTGTTTTGTCCACCTGTCAATTATTCTATCTTTAAGGTGGCGTGTGGGTCTGAGCATTTTGTATGTGGACTTCACCGTCGGCTTGTGAAGACTAATCACAGCAGTGGGGTTAGCTCTACGCCCTGTGGGTTTCCACTGCCATTTTAGAGGGTCGAGGGGGAGGTCTTGAATCCTGGTGTTAGGCTGAAATGCGCAGGCTTCCTCCTTCTCCGCAAGGACTCGGATTCGAAAGATGTCAGCCTTGTTCTGCCAAATAAAGGGGGCCCGGCCCCCTTGCAATACTCCTGATTTGCTTACTGTGTACATTTCCTCCAGGGCATCCTGCATTCGGGTCATACGTATTCTCCCCGCCTGATCGGTGATCCCTCTTACCGCAACCCAGTCCCCCTCCTGTAGAGATGAGCCTCTCTTCAGAACCCTATACCAAGACAGCGGTACCGCATCAATAAGTTTGACATGTCCAAACTGCGATCCATGTGGTGGCAGTACCTCAAAGACTAGTCTAGTTCGTTTGTTGTTTTCCAGCTGCCTCGGTCACAGTCCCAGATATCTTTTATACAAGTGACACCATTTTTAACCCAGCTTTTCCATGGGGTCGTCGAACTACACATTATTTGGCCAAACCTGTCGGTGAGCCAGCGGTTTCCAGAGAGGGGTTCACGAAGCACCTCCTCCCACCGGTCTGTGTATTGTCTGTCCGGGAGGGGGAGTTTCCACCAGCTTCGCTGAAGCGACGGCCAAAAACCGTCCATTGGCTCCCCCCGTCTACGTGGCCACCTTCGCGGGATAGCCCAATAACGGTCCTCTAACCAAGTGAGGGGGTGCACACCCGGGGGAGCCAAGGGGGCTATGCAGGCTT